CTTTTAAACATAGGACATTTCACCTTTGGTTCATACAGAATTTATTTAAGTTTGATTGTGTAGGAAGCTATAAGCTTATAGACACACTTTCGAATCCGTTCCTGGAACAAACCAGTACGTACTTAGCAATGAGTGCAAGGAAACAACGGCTTGCGCTTAACGGGGTTTGAACCCATGCGGCTAGCGATCATTAGGCTACTAGTCACACGGCCTACGTAGGAGTTTAAAAGTCCTACGTAGGAGTTATAAACTCCTAATTAGGCTTTTTTATCTCCTACGTAGGAGTTATAAAGTCCTACGTAGGACTTACAAAGTCCTACGTAGGAGTTTTAAAGTCCTATGTAGGAGTTACAAACTCCTAATTAGGCTTTTTTATCTCCTACGTAGGAGTTTATTTTTTTTATAGAACATTATGAATTGGCACCAGGACGCTTCCGTAGATATCTTATAAAACCAAAGCATCAACAATAAGAGTCTTTACAAGACAAAATCACTCAATACAACTCAACCAATAAAAACCAAATTCATCTTACAAAAAATATTACTTGACAACCAAATATAATGCAACAACCTAATACAACAACATGAACCCAGATCTACTAAGATCACCACAAATAATTTCAACCAACTACAACAAATCGACAATACTCCCTTCAAAACAACACTATTCTCTTCTCCAAAAAATAAACGCTACACACTCCAAGTGTGCCTTTACTAAACTGATGTAGATTTCTCACAAACCTCGCATGATCATAAAATGAGTGTTGTTAACCTGACGTCACAATGCAGCGTTAAACAGCGCATGCAAAGACTGTGAAAAAGACACTATTTCAATGTTACAAAACAGTAAAATATCACTTTTATTTCTCTATAAATAGCCTTTTTTGCTTGAGAACTATAAAAGAACGTTGCTAATAAAAAAAACTCTGAGGCGACAACAAATTTAACCACCAAACATTTAATCCAGTTATACTTTTTTCAGAAGTTAGAATTGAAAAGATCTTTAATTTTAGTGTTCTGTGTTATACATATAGCACGGTATATTGTTCAGATGGTGTTTTTTTAATTAATCACTCAGGTCTTCGTTATAATATATATATAACAATTCATCTTTTCAGTTTGTTGTTGTTGTTTTTGTTGTTTTTTTTTTGTTGTTGTTTTTTTGTTGTTGTTTTTTTTAAATTTTTAAAATAAAAATAAATAAATAAAAATTCAGATTAATAAGTTTTTCTTTATAATCAATAACACCATATATAACATACAGCATCACAAAAATGTTTATCTGATTTGTTCCAAAACGCATAAAAAACAGTCTTTTTGTTAAAAAATCAGATGAGACCCATACACTATGCTGCAGAGAAAGGTCACTCTGAAGTGTTTCGTGTGTTGCTTGACAAAACCGACCAAGCTGAATTTGAAAATTTTTATTGGAATTGTTTGGATCTGGCGATTAATGAAAATCAAGTGTAAGTTTTTATTTTATTTTGTTGTAACTTGTTGCTATATGAAGCTGATAATGATGATGCTACTGCGACTGCTACTGATGATGATAGCTGGTATAATTAACTTCGTTTATAATTGCATTTTCTGTACCATGAACTACCTCAAGAAGACTATGTTATGGGTTTCATCATTACGTATGAACAGCGTTCATTGCAAATATTTGACATTGGGCTTTGGAGAACTTCAACCACTGTTTTATATTTTCCAGGGAAGTTGCTTATGCCATCTTTCAAACGCAAAATTCTGAAAAATGGAAGATAATGCTGCGGTCTAGATCAAAACATGATGATTCTGATTCTAAGTGTGTTGATACACCAATGAGGAAGCTTATAAGAAAAATGCCTGGTATGTTATTTTAATGTACATGTCAGTTGCTATTGTTTTACATATTTATATGTCGATGACAGTCATTCCATTTACTTTGCGTTTTCATGCTCTTAAGCAAAGCACAAAAGGTCATTTTTTACATTTTGTATAGTATGCCAAGTGTACGTAACATTTTGTTTTACATTCTATGACAAATAACGTTGAACTTGTTACATAATATATCATAATTTACAAAGTCTTATTTGCCATATAACAAACTATTTTGGCGGCATTGTCGAGAGTTTACATTTACTTGTTTGTGACTTCCTTATTATGTTTAGCCTTCTTACTTTGTTAAATATATTTAAATATGTTTTTAAACGATTTTTCTGCTAGACGTTGCCAAGATGGTATTTGATAAATGCACACAGATAACACGAGATAAGCACTTTGCAGTGGAATTCAATTATGAATTTCTTGATGACACGTACTATCTAGGCGGATGGAAAGAAACAACACACAAAAAGAGAGGTATTGTATTGTATTGTAATACCTAAATGTCAACTGATGGATTCACACAATATCCATATGTTACAAAGTTTCAAAGTTTTATTTCAGAAATATCCTGAAGGCCAAAAGCCCATGAGGACAACATTTTATACAGTGTACGTGTTGAAAATTATTACTACATAATAACATCTTGTTATAATCTTGTATCCTTCTAAGTCTCATAGTAAAAGTAAAGTTATAAACATGATCTAAATTTATAATACTGATTATGACATACTCTATCCATTTGCATTACTTTATTTTACAAAGTGTGCTATTGAGCGCACAAATTAGTAACACCAGTGACTAGAACTTCATGACCTAATAAGAATATCCATATGCCTTGCAAAGACAAAAAAACTATATCTGACATATCACAATGTCAATATCATTTATATTTATCATTGTGTCTGATGTTCGAAGAATACGAATGAGAAAAACATAGCACAAGCAAATTCAAATTTTTTTCAGAAAATAGTGTTACAATTAGTATATCAGAAGATGGATATTATCTTTAACACTTTACAATTTTCAGAGAAATTTTCAGATAACATACATATAATGACAATGTTACTTTATAATTTAATGTAATATTTGCAAATACTTGACATTACATGGCAAAGATCAGTATCTCAGACCTAAAACACAAGCATAAAAGCAGTAGTAAACTTGTCTGTCTTACATGCAAGAGAAACGCACATTATGTCCTCCCGCACCAGCTGTTATATTTACACTCTTGCCTAGACAACTCGTGTAAATAATGAAACACGAAGGGACGACATATTTTGACTAATGTATTCTCATGTCGGATCTATGTCTCTCTCGGAGTGAATCTTTTCACGTGTAAAATGTCTTTGAACATTACATTCCTAAGTTTCTATATTTGCAATTAAGAACTTAAATTGTCTTTTTCTTTTTGAATAATTTCATTTTTCTTGCGCAATTCTCTAAAATGAGACTTGGTTTTTCTTTATGCGTTTCACAATAAACATTCACCATACCAGGTTGTAAAATAACTTAATTTGGTCCTTAAATCAGTTTTTACCACAACATCAAACTTCATTCAGAATTCATGTCTCGTTATTGTGAGCAAAATTCTAAGTTTCCTTTAGATATGCGCAAGAAAATGTTTTATTTACCCCCGCCGAAAAGACGGTCGGGGATATAAAATTAGTCTCCATCCGTCCGTCTGTCCTTCCGTCCGTCCCTCTACATTTTTGTTCGGAGAATATCTCAAAAAGTATCAATTTGAAACTTCATAGGTGGAGGTATCAGCTTGAAACTTCATTGGTGGATAAATCATATTTAGGAAAAGTGCAGTGCACAAGAATGATAACTCTACGCTGCATATTTTTTCATTATTGCCCTTTGTTATTCTTCAAACTCAATTTTTGTCCACAGCATAACTCAAAAAGCCTTTGGGATATCAACATGAAACTTCATAGGTGGATAGATCTCACTCAGGAGGTGTGCAATGCACAAGAGTGATAACTCTATCATTCATAAATTTTGAGTTATTGTCCTTTGTTATTTTTCATACTTAATTTTTCACCTGAGTGGAGCATAAATTAACTAAAAAAACAAATTTTGAGATGTCAATGTCATCTTCATAGGTAGATAGATCTTTTTGAGGATGAATGTTGTTCGAAAGAATGATAACTCTACCCTTTATAATTTTTAGTTATTGCCCTTTGTTATTTTTCATACTAATTTTTTCACCTGAGTGGAGCATATCTCTGAAAAAGTCTTTGAAATGTCAACATGAAACTTCATACGTGGATAGATCTTTTTGAGGAGGAATGTTGTGGAGCATATCTCTGAAAAAGTCTTTGAAATGTCAACATGAAACTTTATAGGTGGAAAGATCTTATTAGGGAGGAATGTTGTGCGCAAGAATAATACCCTTTATATTTTGTTAGTTATTGCCATTCGTTATTTTTCATACTTTTTGTCCGGAGCTTATCTCAAAAAGGTGTTAGAGGTATCAACTTGAATCTTATTAGGTGGATAGATCTCATTGAGGAGGAGTGCAGCACACAAGACATTTAACCTACCGTGCATTATTTTTCAGTTATTGCCCTTTTTGCCCTCATACTTAATTTTGTCCAGAGCATAACTACAAAAGCCTTTGAGATACCAACATGAACCTTCATAGGTAGAAAAACCTCACTCAAGAGGTATGCAGTACACAAGAATGATAATTATTCTGCTCTACTACATAAACATGGCTCTTGTAACAAGTTACATTATGATATTTTAAAACCTTCTGAACAAGTTAACATTTCAATTCAACACAATGCTTTTTGCAGATATCTTATCAATATATTTAACTGTTGTTTTTGTTTTTTTTGTTTTTTTGTGTGGGGGTTTGGTTTTTTATTGTTTTGTTTATCGCCGTGACAATCATATTGCTGCATTTCCCAGCAATTTTTTACTTGTCACAATAATATACGGGTCTGAATTGATGCTATAGACCTATAAACGGTGTCAAGAAATATGATATAATAGTCTATAAGCGGCTTTGGCTTATTATTATTATTATTATTATTATTATTATTATTATTATTATTATTTCTTTTTTCATTTTTATTTTTTATTTTATTATTATTTTTATCTATTCTTTTAACATATTTTTTATATAAGTAATATGAAAAGTTTTTTTGTCGAAATCAATCGTTTACAGATCATGATACTATTATTACATATAATTACACATAGAAAGTATGAAGAATGACTGATATAAACTATAAGAGCTTTGCAGTTTCTTAGACTGAATATAATATAAAGGTCTCTGGCCAAGAATAGTCATGTTTTTCTGTCTTTAATAAATTTTGATAAACATAAATTCCAATAACACTGTTAACACTGTGTTCTTAGATGTCCGTGTATGACAAATGTGTAATTAAGAAATTCGTTTTTTTTTTCCGTAACACGATCGGTAATTTCCGCGGAAAATTTTATTGATGACGTAGATATATGCAATCCTATAAAATCTAATTTCTTTTATAAACTGTATAAACGACACAATTTCAGACCTACAGTTAAACGAGGTGAAAAAACGTATGAACGAGGACTAACGCATATAATAAACACTAAAATAGTTCATAATTACACATTTAATTCGAATATACCAAAACAATAACCGATAATTGTACACGTAAATTAAGAAAAATAAAATATTAAAATTGGTGCGTATGTATGAAGGCCACTTACATTTGAACATTTGTTTGGTGTTTTTATTACTTTTTCGTTTAAGTTAAAAAGTTAAAAAGAATATATATTCAAATATCCTTTCTACTGTATACTATTGGTTATGTGCATAGCATATGTTCCATTTTATTTCAAGGTAAAGTTGCCAAAAATGTTCATGATGATTTGCAAAAAAATAAAGATGAAGAGAAAAACCAGAAAACTAGCAAAGGTATAACACAAAGTCTTATTTACTTTTCTACTTTTATTTTATATGTAAACAACAACCTTATCATTATTATAAGTGCATTTATTAATCATTTAATTAGCTCGACTTTTTTTTTTTGAAAAAAAAAGTAGAGGTATTGTTTAGTCAGGTCGGGCGTTGGCCGTTGCCGTTGCCCGTTGCCGTTGCCCGTTGCCATTGCCGTTGCGTTGCCGTCCGAAAACTTGTACCTGGATCATAACTTTTTTATTTCTTGGTGTATTGTCTTCATACTTGGCCACAACAACCCTTGGGACAAGACCTTTCAGTAGACCACACTAACCTTGACACTTCATCCATAAATGACCTTGACCTTCAAGGTTAAAAGTCCAAATTTTTGCTTGTTCATGCTGTTATTGGCTGTTACTTTGTTATTTTGAATGGATTGTCTTCAAAACTTGAAATAATAATCTTCAAGGATATCTCCTTAAAAATAACCAGTCAGACCTTGACCTTCACTCATCAATGACCTTGAA